TACATTTACTGTGCCATGGAGGCATTTAAACTAATTGTGACACACAGGAGGGACTGAGGAAGATATATTGTAGCCGGCATGCCAGACACAGACGGTAATCGTTTTCATCTTCGGCTAATGGGTGTACGAGGAGGAGGGGATGAGCAGCAGTCATCCTGATCAAAGGCACATGTCAGCATCTTTGTGTCTACACACTCTTCACCTCTTGATATTTTTTGATGCGTTTATTTATCACACCTCTTTCTCTCTCCTTTCTGACGGTGCAGGCTGTCCCCGGCACCGCACAGACAGCGCAGCTACATGTCACCTTTACTGCTGCAAGCAGAGATCTCCCGAATATAAATCAGAATTAGCACAGCCCCGAGGCTCTCTCCCGTTAATATTTCATTAAACTGTATGAGAATTTGCGCTTCTCTGCTGACAGCAGTTGGCAGGTTGGTGGGGGCTGCTGAATTATGAAGCTGTCATCCATGGCGATTATTTTAAATTAAAATATAAATAAGTGAATAAATGCTGTTTGTTCAGTGAGAACTTGGGTGCCCGTTTGTCTTGTACCTTTATTCAAAGTGCCTCAGCTTTTAGAGAATATAATCTGTGACTTCTGTATTGTCCAAGACAAATAGACTGGATACATGAAGAAAGTGGCAGTGATCCATTCCTGTGTGCTGTGATTACCATTTTACGGTGCCCGTAAGAGACTCACGTATACACAAGTCCGACTTTTCAGACACGCATGTTTCAGAGCACATTAAGGCATTTTATTACATTAGTTGTTAGTAACTGTCAAAACCAGTGCTGGTTGTTTGTGTCTTTGATGATTTTGAACGGTAGTATCAAATCCCTTCGTAGTCTTATCTGTTAAAGACTTAAAAGGTTTGGTTCCTTAAGCTGGTCAGTGTAGAACTTTACTTTAAGATCCATAGTGTTTCTAGTTGCTATTCTCTAGACTGATTCCAGAGCTGCTATATCTGTTCTTCAACTTAGTGACCATTTTATTGTATACCTAGTAAAAAATCCAAATATATATTCAAATCTTAATAATATCCGTTTTTGTTTTAATTGCTCCCCCACATTGTCTAGCATATGTAAATATGCTTTGCCAATGTAAGCACCTCAGTGTTTTGCATAAGTAGCTTTTTCACCTGTGATAATTGCAGCCAGTAATTGATCTGTACTTTGGCTTCCATTCATGCCTATTGATGGCATCAGGCGACACGATGCTGGCATACATGGGAAAAATATTCAGAATTGATTTATTTGACAGTATAAGTCTGTTTTTCCCCCCAGTGGCCATGCAAAGCACATCTTTTGAGCTCCATCTATGAGCTCTCTGTGTTCATAGATGTTTTTCGACATATGTTATTTTCCAAGTCATCTGAATGACAGGGACCTCAGCCTGATCTTCCAGGTAGTTCCCTGCTTTCCCATTGAGGTATTAGTGCTGCAAGTAGTAGTATGACAATATGCTGAGCTACAGTTTCTCTCTGTGAAGATTGTAGACACTCCAATGCTGTCACCTCCCTGGAGTATCAATTCACCTGGCGATTGACTGAGGTCTGAGTTACATCTGTAAGTGTTTCAAAATGAAGTAACCAGCAATTTAAAGTACAAAATTGGAAGCTGTGAAACATCTAATATGAGCCACTTTTGGCAATGTCTGCATGTGACATCAATTACAATCCGGCAGAAAAATGAGTTATCCCATATTTTCCACAAGAAACTTAAAAACATCCACCCATTTTCTAAATGCTTCATCCAATTCAGTGTCATGGGGGAGCCAGTGCCTATGTCTGTAAGCTATGGGAGCAGTGCAGGGTCAACCCTGGATGGGATGCCAGTCCATTCCAAAATCTTGGAGACTGGTCAAGGATTATATCACTGTATATGGATTTCACTGTCAAGAAAAGTTTTTTTAAATCATCTCACAGATATAGTTATGCTAGACCTTTTTTTAAGATATACTATATATATAAAATATTATATATTTTTTATTTCAGGAGGCAGATTGGGTTCAATTCCAGACCTGGGGTGCAGTCTGTGTGGAGTTTGCATGTTCTCTCTGTGTTTGTGTGAGTTTCCTCTGAATACTCCAGATTCCTCCCCAAAGACGTATGGTAGATGAATTGGCTTCTGGGGAAACTGGCCCTCGTGTGGGTGTGTGCCTTGTGATGGACTGATGTCCCACCTTGCACCTGTTGCTTGCCAGGATAGGCTCCGGCTTCCTTGCGATTCTGTATAGGATTAAACAGTTTGAGGACGGATGGATGTTTTCATTCAATCCTCTATTAAAGCAGATAAATTAAGAATGATTTCTCATTTACTATGACAACTGGAATTTATATCCCCACAGGATATTTTTGACAAATGTGATTAAAAAATCTTTATTTTATAAATCAGATAAATAATGATAGTAATGTGCTTATGAACAGTTAGACTGTAATAGTAGCAAAGCATTCTACAATGCTTTTTCCTTTATAAAATTACACTTTCTCAAGATGATTATAATGCAGAGCTCTTTCCTGGGGCTTGAGAGCTATAACAGGGGAGCACAGTGTGTGGTGTGAACTTTTAAAAGCATGGCTCTCTGCAGTGCTTGTTCCTCTCCCACAGACTCACACAGTGTTATACGATTACATGTTAGAAATGTTAAAAGCCGTAAAGAAAGAAGTACCACCTGCATAAATGCGCAATTGTGCCGTTTGACCATGTACAGTATGTAGGGGATCAGTGATTGATGTGGGGCTTTTTATAGACACACATCCTCAAAATGTCACTTGGAGAAAAGTCAATTGTAGTAAAATATGTTTGCTCAAAATCAGAATCTGCAACCCTTACAAAATTATACCATAATGCAGGAGAATTATTCCTTTTTCTGATGTGCAAAAACACAACTTGGATGGTTAACAAAGCCACTACTAACATGAAACATGATGAATGCTTGCACTGAGATTACCCGACATGCAGTAAACCAGCCTATTAACAGATAATACGACTACATTTAGCTCAACGACCTTCTGAGAATCTCGCCCCAGTTATTTAATTAAGTGGCAGAAGAAAATAGCACAGATGACTAAAATTAGGCAATGGGACCTTTTGTATTCATTACCAATTGATTTCAGCTGTGTCCATGCTGGACCTATCTGAACCACTGAAAGGGCCTTTCCAGTGTAAAGACTGAAGAGCTCCTTCCATGTGGGGAATTATTCTAGTTGTGCTGAATTCAGCCAGTGAGAAGGTCTGCATTAATAAAGATTTCTTCAGTCATACGGCTGTTCAGTCCTGCTGCTGGAGGTCCTGTGTGTCCGTGGGTTTTCTAGATTTCTTTAAAGCAGTGGTCCCTGGAGATCTGGGAAAAGCTCTTAAATTGGTCCTATTAAGCCAGTAACCAGCTAGTTTTATTGTGAAGAGCTGTATGGAAATGAACTCCTGAAACACTGGCTCTCCAGTAACAGGATTGGACAGCCAAGGCATTGGATATCCCAGTGTTACTGGCAAATATTAGTGTTGATGGCTATAACATGATGATTAAAGACTCAAAACCCTGAAGCATGGACAGATACAGATGATGAAGAGTAGTGCAAAGCTGCACACTGCATGTCAGGTATTAATTTACAGTTTATTTTGTGCCTAAGCTTTATAGACTCATAGCAAAACACACATATTATTTCAGCTTCTAAATATAAATCAAACATAAAACAGAAATCGACCAGGCCTACATATGTTCTGGTTAAGGTAGAAACTACTTTCCACTCCACCAGTTAACAAACATATCACTCAAAGTATTTGCAAGAATACCTATGATTAATATTCTCAGGCACTCCTGGTTGCTTGGTTTTATTTTCATAACAAGGATAAGTCCCACTTTTTAACTCAGCAGGATATTTAGATCTTTTACTATATGTTACCACTCAGACATTCTCAAATATTTAAGGCCTGCCTGTGGCATTAACCTTCCACCATAACCCACTGGGCTGTATCCCACATACAGTAAGTGTTTCTCAAATGGGCTTCAGCAAGGTCACACTTAAACACAGCTTTAGGATATGAATCACTCAAAAGAAAGCTCTTAACTTTGAAGGTGGAAATGATCAGATCAGCGTGCTTCCCAATGCATAGCCAATCGCAGAATCTATAAGGTAAATCTACGGCAAGGGCTCTCCACTCTCTGTGATTCCTTGTCTCCTAGATAGAGACCTAAGCAAGGGTTTACCTGGTGTATCTGATCACTTGTAAAGGCTCAAACAAAGTTTGAGGGAAGGTATTGTAGATCACAGAGGCACCATGCAAAAAGACAAGTTTCTACAAATTGCTGTATCACCAATAGTGGCGCAATGGGAGAGCAACTGCACAGTGCACTCAAATCCTTGTAACAATAACAGCTCTAGTGACATACATTCCCGTTTAAACCTCATCTAGCTCCCACACTCTTCAGGTGTTTAAATGAACCTTGTGTCTGAGACTGCAGCACCCGGAGGAAACCCACACAAACAAGGGGAGAACATACAGGCTCCACACAGACAGTACCCCAGATCTGGAATTGAACCCAGGGTCCCGGTGGTGCGAGGCAGTGCCTGCTGACCACTGCGCCACCATGTCGCCCGTCTGTATATCTATATAAATACTTGCAAGTTGCCATTTTCTTCTGAGTACATCAGGTATACTGTACTTTGAACATGAATCTCTTCATGCTGCATTAAGCTTCCTTTGAAATGCCCTCGACTTCTCTAACTTCGTGGGTGTAGCAGACAGTGGAGTGACTGCTCTCTGCGTGTGTGCCCTTGCTCGCTTGTCCTGATCGGGCAGCATGCCAAACCAGCCCCCACCCCCCTTCCAGGGCAGGGCTGAGAGCCACACGCCACTCTCTCCGGTGTTCGCTAGCACTTGATTGTAACATCTCACACTGTTTTCTTTTTCCTCTGTTTATTCTCTCTCCATCTGCTCGCCCCCCTCTCTCTCTCTTTCTCGCACGCACTCTCCCTGCATGGCTGGGCGGAGAACAGCTCCCAAAACCCAGGTACAGGAAGGTAAGAGGCTCAGACACACAGCCTCCCGTAGTCAAACCCAGCCCCCCTCCTCCCAGTCCTCCTCCAGATTATCATCCTCAGTCAAACCTGCTGCCCCCATGAGACCCCAGCTGACTGCCAAAAGCTTTAAAGTGCATACATTTAACCCCAAAGAGCTTTTACAAAAGATGCACACCTGTTATTTCTATATACTGTATGTTTGCCTTGTGCATCTAAAGGAAAATCTTAGTAATCTCATTTCAAATTCCTTTAAAGATTGACAACCATGTGGGTGGAATTTACACTTTAAAGCCTGTAGCCCTTCAGAAACTTGACATCTCAAAGTGATTTAGTTTAACTCTATATAATAGGGGTGGCTAAACCTGGTAGCAGAAAGAGACAATCAGGCAGGTTTTATTTATTCCCCTTAATCATTAATTTATTAAGATTTGGAACAATTTTGTTTTAACTGCTTACACAGACTATGTGTTGAGGTTTAGAGATTATTTTAAATAAGACTGCCAACACCCTGTATCTCACAGGATCCACAGTTGGCCATTCCTGGCTTAATTGAACTAATTAACTTACTAAATTGATCAAGGAGTTTCAGGTCTTTACAGATTGATGACAGCATGAACTGTAAGACCCTATAATGACCAGGGTTGGCCCACCCCTTTATAGATTATTCCCACCACCAATTGGTTGTGTTATTCAATTGGGTTTCCCCACTTGTACACTGTCATCTGACCTAAACATTATATATTTTCTCTTCCCTTTTTTAGCAATGTGCTCATTTTAAAATCCAGTTTCTCCCATCCTTAGGTTGTGTGTATGTACAGTAAGTTCAAGCCTGTTGTTTTCAAGTTAATGTCATCTTAGTTTCAGGCAAAAAAAAAACGATGGTATTTCTTTTCTAGACGTGTCATTAAGATCAACGCTTCTGTAAAAGACAGAATTTGGTTTTATTAAAGTAAGACAGAGGTAACACCAACTCATAGCTGTGCTATGTCCCAATGCATAAACGCAGAACTCACTTTGAAAGGCTTTAAGCAGCTAACAAGGTTTTAAGGTCTTTTGGGCTGTTTAGTTCACCGCATTTCCAATCATTTTTTATTTTGATGGAAGTTTAAACAAGAAAGGAAAACAACAAAACTTACCTCTGTGTTAATAGGTTAATAGGACTTGAGCTAACTCAGCTGGTACAGTAATTAAACCCCAGATCCAGAAACATATCAAAAACATAATTTTAGTGAACGATATATGGAAATACAAATTATGAACACTCAGCAGTTTCTGTGAGTGACATCACAACAGGCCAGGCCACAGGTGTCAGCCTATACATCTGCATGGGATTAATGTCCAAGACAAGGAAACCGTCCCGCAAGTAAGAGGTAATAATCTCAGAATTTATCTACAAAGTAATGAAGCAGAACAGCTTTAGTTTTATTAGTTCTTTCATATACTGTAATGTCACTAAATGCTCCTATTGAAAACAAACTGATCATCATAGATAAAATAAATCTCTTTGTTCCCACACATCAAACAATACATTATTTTGTATAACTAAAATGTACATAGATGTATTTGTCATAAAGGCCATTTTCTGATGACAGATTTTAGATATTGCTAAAAGCATAGTAATATGCAAGCCTAGATAAATATAGGCTCTGTACTATATAGCGAACTACAGCTTATGAGAGCTACACACTGTTCTCATAACTCTTCATCCCGTTAACAGTTTGCCGAAGGGGGTCAATTTTATACTGTATTATTGTTTCTGGGGATCAGCCCACGCTGTTCCCCTCGTCCTGCATTTGATGCCTTACCAAACTATTATTATAGATTTACACTTTGTCTATGTTCTTTCACTCCAGCCATAAAATATCTGCTTCTACTATTTATCCATATAGTGTACATGTTGGCCAGCATTATTGAGGCTGCTGATTCTGCTATGTGATTTATACAGAGAGTTCTTAGATAATATTGGCTGTGACTTTACTGGTTCGACTGTCCCCTGCAGGATTTACTGAGCTGGTTTACCTGGACTGTTGAACAGGTTTGGCATCACACATGTATGCAGTTTCTGCTAGAGAGTTTCAATAAGCTGTCTTACCATAAATGTGCACTTTGTCACCTTATAAGCAACACGTAAACTTGCAGGCATGTTTACAAAGAGTAATTCCACCCCACAGAAGGACTGTTGCAGTCACTGCACACCATGTTCAAGCAATGCATTCATTCAGGAGACATCTGCCACTCAATTTCAGTAATCCATCTCACCATCCTGTTTTTGCTAAAAATCTGATTCAAAATCTTTATTTAAAACAAACTATGGATTGAGGTGTTGCACGGATCATTAAATGCTAATTCAAGTGTAGTGTAACAAATGCTATTGGTTCCAGTACTCATTTGTTGTGTTTTTAATATCTCCCAGTATATTAACTAAGCCTTAACTAGATAAATTTAACCATCTTTATTGGGCCTTTAATTACTCAGAATGTAAAGAGACCCAAAACCTTTGCTGATCTGCACCCTAAAAGACTAGTATTAGGGAATCCTAATTAAAATCACTTGCACATTTTTAAAAGACATGATTTCTAAATGCATTAACAGTTAAATAATAAGAGCATCACATCATTTTCAATTTTTATTTCTCTCCTGATTCTGAGAACCTCCCCCCCCCCCCCCCAAAAAGGAAAGTGATGAAATTAAAATTCAAGCAACATGCCGAAGAGGTAAGATAATTATCTTGACAAGACTGATTGCGTTTCCGATTTTTTAATAGAATATTTATTTGCTTATTACAGTCATTGCTGAAGGTGCTGTTCACCAAAAACACTCGCTTTCCCTCCTCCCTCCCTCGCGAACGCACCCTGAACATTTCCTCACGCTCGCTCATCCCTCTGCTCCCAGGACAGAGCTAAATGTCTCCATCAATCACCTGTCGCAAACGCTGCAGAATTAACTCCTTCCTGCCCAGCTCGGGGAGACCAAGCTTGTACAGTGTGGGCAGGTCTCTCCTGTCCAAGTGATTAGCCCATGAATATCCACACACAGCCTTGCCATGGATCATTGATTTCTCGAGCCATTGAGCAGGACAGCAAGGCACAAGACCCCGTGTCAAATTCTCGGAGGGCTGTTAAGTGTGGGGCGGGGGAAATTCAAATTAAACACCAAGGTTGCTGTGATACTCAGAGCTCAGCCACTATGGCAGCCGTCTCCTTCAGGCTAAGAAGACATCCATGTCATTATTGTCAATAATGCATTTTGTTTTGTTTGGATTTTATTTTAAGTGTCTAGCCTCCCCAGCTGGCGTGTCTATCCCCAGACAGAATTATGAGAAGAGTCATATTTATAATTGAATAAAAAAACTGAAAGATGAGCCGGGAGACCTACGGTCCATATGATAGTGCCTGTCTAATACAGGTTGCGCACAGGCTGGGAGAACTGAAGGCTTGTGGGTGTCCCTTTTAACTCCTGCCCTAGCCAGTCATCTATTTGTGCAGGCTTATATGTGATTTTTCAGCACAAGGGTGAAGAGTTTCCATTCAACCTCACAGCAGAATTGTGAGTGGTGACATTATCTGTTGTTTCGCACTGACATCCTTCATTTTCTAACCACTTCTTCCAGTTCAGGGTCGTGGGGGTACTGGATCCTATCCCAGTGAGCACCTGGTACAAGGCAGGGTACGCCCTGGATGGGATGCCAGTCCATGACAGGGCACTCATTCAGACACCCAATCATATCAGGGTCATAGCTGGTGATGAGCAGATAGCTGGTGATGGAGAAGGCTATACCAGGGTTCGAGCCCCGATGCTGCCCATGTTTTTTGTCGTACTTTACAACCGGAAAAAGATCAAGGCAAACTAACCTTCTTTGGGGTCTTTGCCCAGTTTAAGTGGACGTGAGCCATTTGGGTCTGTGTGGCAGCACCATGTTTTCTTCAAGCCTAGGCAGTTGGTTGTCAGAGAAATGGACAATTTCAGAGATAAAAGGATTTAAATTTGATCAGCAGCTTTTGTCTTGGAGCTCAGGGGGAAATACACAGAGGAAACGCAGGCACCAGAAGAGCCAGCGCTGGGTAAATTGGTATGGATGACTAGGTATGTGAGGCGGGCATTGAGACATCCTGATGTAAGGCACCCATCTGCACTCACACAAGCCGTTTCTTCTTCCTCCCTAATTATGATCAACTGCCTATTCAACAGCAAGATGGCAATCAGGAGAGCATTACAGCAGGCTGCTACTCTGGGCTTGTGCTCCCCTTGTGAAATTAGTGCTGTCTTCTCAGTGGATTTCCTACACACTTGCAGTTGCTGGGTTTGATTTTGAATGTCTGTCTAATAAACAGTTATCTGGTTTGACTTGAGGGGTATCGTGTTGGATTATTTTTAATCCAGATAGATTTCATTACGTAAACAATGGTCACTTGTCTGGCTTGTTTCTTCCAAGATGGGGCCAGGTGTTACCTGTCTAATGATTTCTTTCTATGTTACTGCATCTTCTTGGTCTTAACACCTCCAATCCACTTGTTTTTCGACACATTCAGGAAACACAGACCCCGTACCGGATGTTCAGTTTTAAAAGAGGTGCGTCTTCTACTGAAAGCAACGCCAGTGTGGTCCCTGAGAGCCCAGACAGTTCTGGCCAGTATAGTGCCACACTGTCCTATTTGAAACTTCAGCCATCAACACTGGAACTCACAACAGCCAGGAGAAGAATAGCGTTGCAGTTCCCCTTTAAGATGCTGTGTGGAAACTTCTCGCATGATGCAAAACAGTCATTTCCTCCATACAGCCTTCCACTATCTTTCACTTATGTCCCATTTTGTTTAATTACAAGTTATGTGCAATTCATCAAAGCTTGAATGAATGAAACTGAACACACTGAACAGTGGCATTAGTAGTTCAAGGGAAGTAAGTAAATAATTACAGTGAGTTATAGTCTTTTGCCAGAAACTATTGTTTAATTTAGTATTTATTAATAATTATTAATTGTTCATAATTATTCAAGAAGAACT